ACTTTAACAACACAACCGTTCAATGCTAAGGCTTACTGCCAAAATTGAACTGTAAAAGGAGAGTCTACTGAACAAGCCAGTACCTGCTGCATACCAGTACTGCCATCTGTTGAGGAGTTACGACGGTGGAGGCATTACTTTTCATTCAACCCTCATAGTTCTCACTTACACCAGGTAGAAACAGACACAGAAATATAGACCCCTATCTCTCCTAGTGACTGCTACCCAGTAGGTCTAGATTAGGAGACTTTCTATGATATCTACATGTTCCCCACAGTATTGAATATATAGACATCATGTATATGAGTCATTTACAATGTGTGACTCTATGTTATGTATTTGTAACTGCAATTATGAATGTCAGCCCTTATTAGCAAAGAGAAGATGTAGTAGATTGTTGTGAGGTTTTTTTTGGGGGGGGGGGGTGTTATGGACATGTTCCAGAAGTACTCTCTCCTGATGTTTTGCCTGCATCTATGTCAGGAATCCTCAAAGGTTGTGAGGTCAGACAACTGAGGATGTCTGCTATAGATTCAGGTGGAGTGTCAGGAGAGAATGCTTCAGGAACATGGCCATACAGCCTGAAAAACTCACATGATTCCGACCACGAAAGCCTTCGACGACACCAGAAGATGTAGTGCTGGAGGTCTCATTTAAGAGAGGAATAGAATAACTCCAACAGCAAGGTTTTTGAAAATTGGTACATCTGGAAACATTCATAAGTTGGGACATGTCTCCATTGTCACCTCACTCCCAAATTTATCCACTTTGAAAAAAATATTTCCATATGGGTCCTTACTCTTTAAAGAAGCAGATAAAGACTGTTGCCCCAGTGGATAAGGAGATCTATATCAAATAAGTGTACAGTCAGTTACAAGACTGGACATGTTGTGGGCTGGTTCCTACCCAGTCTACGAACCACACTGCCTCAATCATTACGACTATGGTTACTAGAGATAAAATAATCCAACAGAGCTACACAAATATTTTTGCAAACTAGGAGCAGAGGGTTGGGTAGCCACTGTATCAACAGTTTGCATGGAGAGTGTGTTGAAATAAAGTAGGTGATGACTGTCCTAGTAATTTCATGCGATTCCAGAATCTGAAGGCTGATAACAAGAGGCAGATGATGGGATTGGAGCAACTAGGAGAGCTCACCATAAACCAGTGGCTCAAAGAACCCGGGAATCAGTGCATGTTCTGACAGCTACCATTTTAGAATCATTTAAAAAGAGCTCACTGCACCACATTAAAAAAAACTGACAATGGAGGACACTGAAAGAATTAATATCTCAAACTTGAGTATCATACGAGGGTTGAATGAAAAGTAATGCCTCCACCTTCGTAACTCCTCAAAAGATGGCAGTACTGTTATGCGGCTGGTGCTGGCTTGCTCAGTAGACTCTCCTCTACAGTTCCATTTTGGTGGGAAACCTTAGTATTGAACGGTTGTGTTGCTAAAGTGCAAAGTACGGAACCGTGTGCAGACGGTCAGTCAATGCGACTTAAGCAACGTGCAGTCATTGAATTCTTGACAGCAGAAGGTGTCACCGACACATCTTTAAATTTGCTCGCCCAACGGCACACAGTACTCACATCAATACAATCACCACAAACAGCTTGCATTCTCTGACGAATCTCCTTTGGGGTGGCACCTTCTGCTGTCAAGAATTTCTTTTTCATTTTTTTCTCTTTTCAAGTTTGCTGATGCGTTTGGACTGGGAAAATGTTTAGAAAATAGACGAATGTAGAAATATGGAGCTGTAGTTTTTAAGTTTGCTATGTTTGTTGTATTTTTTCTGTAAAAACTAATACATTTTTTTTAAAAAAAGTATTCAATGACTATGTATTGTTGAAGGCTTTCATGGCTGGAATCACTCAGTTCTTGTGGGTTTTTTCGGGCTATATGGCCATGTTCTAGAGGCATTTCTCCTGACGTTTCGCCTGCATCTATGGCAAGCATCCTCAGATTCAATGACTGCACGTTGCTTAAGTCACATTGTCCGACCATCTGCGCAGGGTTCCATACTTCTCACTTTAACAACAAAACCGTTCAATGCTAAGGCTTCCCGCCAAAATGGAACTGTAGAGAAGAGTCTACTGAACAAGCCAATACCTGCTGCATACCAGGACTGCCATCTGTTGAGGAGTTACGAAGGTGGAGGCACTACTTTTCATTCAACCCTTGTATGAAAGAAAACAACCCAAAACAAGCCAGAGAGATATAGAAAGATATTTATGAAGGTGTTTCTAACACTCTTGAGCCCCAAGGAGTAAACTAGCATGCAACACACAAACAAAGGGCTTTGTGGAACGCCTGTCTACATGGGAGAGTATGACCTTCTCTGGCTAGAAACAGACACGTATCTTCAGTGTATTGAGGAGCTGTCAGTGACTAACAGACCTTTCATGGGATTTCTGTGAAATTTTCAAAGTTTAAACATTATATGTGGTGACGGACAGACGTAACACTTTCCAGGCAGTGTTCCATTTCATCCATGGATGTCTCCAAACAGCCCCAGTCACCGATTGGGAATGATGGAGATGCCCTGCCTAACTTTGTTCTGCCTCTCCATTGCTTTCGCAGGAAAGAGAAGCTGGAGTAAGATCAGATAGTATCTGCAAGCATCAGCGTTCCTTCTTTTCTCTCTGATCTGCCTGGGGAATGGAGAAGAAGGTCGAAGTTAGATCCGTAGCTAATGTTGTGGGTGGGAAAGCTACATCAGGTGCTTGACACCAGGAGTCAAGGCCATGTCCTTCAGCCTACGGAAGATGGTCCTCATCTAATTCAGTTTCCATTGCCTGACTTTGAGAGTTAGTGAATAGAGCTTTCATTCAAGTGAAGCTCTATTCACTTCAAGAAGCCCAGCACTCAAGTGAATAGATTGAGTTGTCATCGTAGGAAAGGTTGTTATCTTAGGGAAGGTGATTTGAATGCATCCTCATTTCCCCCCAAAGCTTATTAACATTTTCTGTCTTGGTGTGTGAAGGAGGAAAGAAATTGCATTGTAGTCTTCTAGTGCTTGAGAAAAGCTAAAGCAAAAGTAAACAAAGGCAGGAGATGTATCTCTGGCACACTGCTATGTCTCCATAGCTACATCTCTCAGTGCTACTCCCCCTTAACTCCACCTTTTAAGTTTCCACAACAAAACTGCCATTTCTGTGACATTGGAGTTGGGGGAAGTTTCAGTTGAGGTGTGTCCATCATTTGCAGGAGACTCCAGAGGTCCTTGGAAGGTCTCTCCAGAGGACAACCTTATTGGAAGTGCAACAAATGAAGAGCCAAGCAGGGCTCTTTCTATCAGTTCTTGCAGTGTGACTAGCTATGGCAATAGTTCTCAACCTGTTGGTCCTCAACTCCCAGAATTCCTAACAGCTGGTAAACTGGCTAGGATTTTTGGGAATTGTAGTCCAAAAAACCTGGGGATGCAGAGGTTGAGAACCAGTGAGCAATGGGAAAATAGCTGAAAACATCTCCATTACTGTGACAATGGAGTTGGGGGAAGTTTCAGTGGAGGTGTGTCCATCATTCGCAGGAGACTCCAGAGGTCCTTGGAAGGTCTCTCCAGAGGACGACCTTGTTGGTAGTGTAACAAATGAAGAGCCAAGCAGGGCTCTTTCTATCTGTTCTTGCAGTGTGACTAGTTATAGCAGTAGTTCTCAACCTGTTAGTCCCCAGATGTTTTGGCCTTCAACTCCCAGAATTCATAGCAGCTGGTAAACTGGCTAGGATTTCTGGAAGTTGTAGTTCAAAAAACCTGGGGACCCAAAGGTTGAGAACCAGTGAGATATGGGAAAATAGCTGAAAACATCTCCATTACATAGAAGTGGTTGTTTAGTGGGACATTGTTTAAAAGTGGGGCTTCGTGGTAATTCTGACTTCCTCAATAACCAAAAAAGTGGGTTATGATACTGTAAGTTGGACCTATAATATTGTAACTCACTAAGACGGCACCAGGATGGTCTGTTAGTCAGTGGTAGTGTCCAAAACGTCACAAATATGTTTCTCTTGCCATTCTCAGAAAACTTTTCTCTTTGGGGTGTTGTAGGTTTTTTGGGCTACATGGCCATGTTCTAGAAGCATTCTCTCCTGATGTTTCGCCTGCATCTATGGCAAGCATCCTCAGAGGTTGTGAAACGTCAGGAGAGAATGCTTCTAGAACATGGCCCTATAACCCGAAATACCTACAACAACCCAGTGATTCCAGCCATGAAAAGCTTCGACAATACTTTTCTCTTTGTTGTTAAAATGGTGGTCTGTTTAATTTTTCGGGGTTGTTTTAAGTTTTCTGGGCTGTATGGTCATGTTCCAGAAGCATTTTGGAAGGACTCTCTCTTGCCTACATCTATGGCAGGCAGTCTCAGAGGCTGTGACCTCACAACCTCTGGGGATGCCTGCCATAGATGCAGATGAAATGTCAGGAGAGAATGCTTCTAGAACATGGCCATATAGCCCGAAATACCTACAACAACCCAGTGATTCCAGCCATGAAAGGCTCCGACAATACTTTTCTCTTTGTTGTTAAAATGGTGGTCTGTTTAATTTTTCTGGGTTGTGAGTGTTTTCGGCTGTATGGCCATGTTCCAGAAGCATTCTCTCCTGACTCTCTCTTGCCTACATCTATGGCAGGCAGCCTCAGAGGTTGTGACCTCACAACCTCTGGGGATGCCTGCCATAGATGCAGGTGAAACGTCAGGAGAGAATGCTTCTAGAACATGGCAATATAGCCCAAAAAACCTACAACAACCCAGTGATTCCGGCCATGAAAAGCTTTGACAATACTTTTCTTTTTGTTGTTAAAATGGTGGTCTGTTTAATTTTACTGGGTTGTTGTAAATTTTTTGGGCTGTATGGCCATGTTCCAGAAGCATTCTCTCCTGACGTTTCACCTACATCTATGACAGGCATCCTCAGAGGTTGTGACCTCACAACCTCTGAGGATGCCTGCCATAGATGCAGGTGAAACATCAGGAGAGAATGCTTCTGGAATATGGCCATACAGCCTGGAAAACTTAATCAACCCAGTGATTCCATCCATGAAAGTCTTAAACAATACAGTTTAATTTTAATAATTCCAAACTTCCTTTATTCAAAGAGCTAGTAAAGAACACGCATTGGCTACCATTTGCAGGGTTATGTCTGTCTTTCAACCAAGTTAGCCAAAGGTTATAATGGGGCAAAACATAATTTTAAATTATGGGTTGGAATCATTACTATTTTGGACTTTATCTTCCAGAATTCTCCCATTTGTGAACCTGGGAATATGTAATACCCTCAATGTAAATCTTCCATACCCTAAAAGTTGCAAATCCAGCATTATAATATAGCATAATATATTAAAGTTGATCAGAAAGAACACAAAAGATGTAACAGGTTATGCACCTGATAAGATGTGTATTTTCCATCACTATGTATCACATACTGTGGATGTATGTGTGTGTGTTGCATATTTAGTGTTCTTAAACTATGGGGATGGAGAAAAACGAACATGTGCGGAGGGAGGGGCACAGAATGAATGCCAGGAAGGAATGCATGATCTATACTACGAGAAAAAGCAAAGAGTGCCAACAACAGTATCTCGAACAGAAGGGAAAGATGATGACACAGTTCTGAAAAGAAGGGCAATCCAAGAAAGAAATGGGAGAGCATTGTGTCTTGTCTGTGATCAGACTCCTTGGGGCATCACGGGCTGGGGACAGTTCTTCTAGAAGGAGAAGGGTGCTGTTCAAAGGACTGACTGGAAATCTATTTGGATGCTGCTCTTCCATCCATTTCTTCTGTGTTGCTGTAGGAAGAAAGAGACAGATTGAATTAGGCATTTGCAGACCTTGCACAACAGCTTCCTTCCTGCTGCTCACTACAGATGTTTCCAAAGCATACTTACTCCAATTTATTATTTATTTACAACATTTCTACCCCGCCCTTCTCAACCCCCGAGAGGGAGACTCTGAGCGGCTAACATTGGCAACAATTCGATGCCGCAGTATCAATATAACAACAATATTAAACCATAAATATGCAATAGATTAAAAACGGTAATATTAATTATACAGTCACATAGCCGTTTCCATAATAATAATCTTTATTTATTTATTTAAAACACTTATATTCCGCCCTTCTCACCCCGAAGGGTTGCTCCATCCATGTTCAACATCTACACAAATGACCAGCCATTGCCAGAAGGGACAGAGAGTTTCATCTATGCTGATGATCGTGCCATTACTGCTCAAGCAGGGAGCTTTGAGATGGTAGAACAGAAGCTTTCTGAAGTTCTAGGTGCTCTTATTGCCTATTACAGGGAAAACCAGCTGATCCACAACCCATCTAAAACACAGACATGTGCCTTTCACCTTAAGAACAGACAAGCATCCCGAGCTATGAGAATTACCTGGGAAGGAATCCCACTGGAGCATTGCAGCACACCCACATACCTGGGAGTCACTCTGGACCATGCTCTGACCTACAAGAAGCACTGCCTGAACATCAAGCAAAAAGTGGGTGCAAGAAACAATATCATATGAAAGCTGACTGGCACAACCTGGGGATCACAACCAGACACAGTGAAGACATCTGCCCTTGCGCTGTGCTACTCTGCTGCTGAGTATGCATGCCCAGTGTGGAACACATCTCACCACACTAAAACAGTGGATGTGGCTCTTAATGAGACATGCCGCATTATCACGGGGTGTCTGCGCCCTACACCACTGGAGAAATTACACTGCTTAGCCGGTATCGCACCACCTGACATCCGCCGGGAAGTAGCAGCCAATAGTGAAAGGACCAAGGCAGAGACATCTCCAGCTCATCCCCTGTTTGGGTATCAGCCAGCACGTCAACGACTTAAATCTAGAAATAGTTTTCTAAGATCTACAGAGACACTCGCTGGAACACCTCAGCAAGCGAGAGTCCAAAAGTGGCAGGCTCAAACCCAGAACCTCAACCAATGGCTGATACCAAATGAGAGACTCCCCCCTGGGCACACAGAGGACTGGGCGACTTGGAAGGCGCTGAACAGACTGCGCTCTGGCACCACGAGATGCAGAGCCAACCTTCAGAAATGGGGCTACAAAGTGGAATCCTCGACATGTGAGTGTGGAGAGGAGCAAACCACTGACCACCTGCTGCAATGCAACCTGAGCCCAGCCACATGCACCATGGAGGACCTTCTTGCAGCAACACCAGAAGCACTCCAAGTGGCCAGATACTGGTCAAAGGACATTTAATCAACTACCAAACTCACACATTTTGTATTTTCTCTGTTTGTTTGCTTTGTTCTGTTAGAAATGTAGTATAATTGACTGGCTGCCCTGACACGAGAAATAAATAAAACCCCGAAGGGGACTCAGAGCGGAGCACAACATATACATGGCAAACATTCAATGCCTGGGTACAATACATAAACATTAAAAAAATTATCTAAATATTAAAATACACCATTTAAAATAACACAATTTAAAACCGTCCTAGCCATCCGCATCAAATCCAATTGGCCCTGTCATCTTTCCCATTGTCGCTTCATTGCCCTGTCCCAAAAACTTGATCCCACAGCCAAGTTTTTACCATCCTTCTAAAGGACAGGAGGGAGGGAGCTGACCTGATCTCACCAGGAAGGGAGTTCCATAGCCGGGGAGCAATCACCGAGAAGGCCCTGTCCTCGTCCCCACCAATCGCGCCTGTGACAATGGCGGGACGGAAAGCAGGGCCTCCCTGGAGGATCTTAATCTCTGCGATGGTACATAGAGGGAGATGCGTTTGGACAGGTAATTTGGGCCGGGGCCGTTTAGGGCTTTATAGGCCAAAGCCAGCACTTTGAATTGTGCCCGGTAGCAAACTGGCAGCTATTGGAGCTGGCGTAACATGGGAGTTGTATGCTCCCTGTATGCCGCCCCAGTTATTTACCTGGCTGCCTCTCGTTGGACTACTTGAAGCTTCTGAGCAGTCTTCAAAGGCAACCCCACATAGAGTGCGTTGCAGTAGATGTAACGAGAGCATGGACCTTTGTGGCCATGTCTGACTTCCCAAGGTACGGGCACAGCTGGTGCACAAGTTTTAATTGTGCAAACGCTCCCCTGGCCACCGCTGCAACCTGGGATTCCAGGTTCAGTGATGAATCCAGGAGAACTCCTAAGCTGAGAACCTGTGCTTTCAAGGGGAGTGTGACCCTGTCCAGCACAGGTTGCGACCCTATACCCTGTTCGGCCTTGCGACTGACCAGGAGGACCTCTCTCTTGTCTGGATTCAACTTCAATTTGCTCGCCCTCATCCAGACCATCACAGCGGCCAGGCACCGGTTCAGGACTTGGACAGTCTTTATAACCCGCCATCATCTCCCCAAGGGACTTGGAACGGCTTACATGAGGCAAAGCCCAAGAGTACATCAATAAACAAAAGCAATAAACAAAACAGTAAACACAGTACAATTAATATAAATCACATATAAACAATAACCAAAAAAACAGTAACCCAAGGATTAAAAACCTATGGCCGGGCCAAATGTAATTGTTTACAAATTAAAAAATAAACTCTGGGCATGAGCAGGGTATGATATAGCTTGTATAGGGTTTTCAAAGAGAGATGAGGGAACACAGTCAATCCTAATCCAGTAGTAAAGTCCATTCTGAGGGCAAATTGCTAAGAGTTTTCCTTATTCCTTATCATAACAATCATGGTCCAGTTCAATGTCCAAAATGCCATTGTGCCTGCTAGCCAAAAGCCTGGTTCCAAGACCATGATTTCAATTTTTTTCCTAAAGGAAAGGAGGGAGGAAACCAATCTAATCTTGCTGGGGAGCGAATTCCACAAGCGGGGGTCACCACCGAGAAGGCCCTGTCCCTCGTCCCCACCAGACGCGTTTGCGAGTCCAGTGAGACTGAGAGCAGGACCTCCCCGGTGGATCTTAAACTACGAGGCAGAACATAGAGGGAGATAAGTTCAGACAAGTAAGCTGGGCCGGAGCCGTATGGGGCTTTATAGGCCAAGACCGGCACTTTGAATTGTGCTCGGAAATGAACTGGCAGCCAGTGGAGCTGGCATAGCAGGGGGGTGGTGTGCTCCCTATATGGCGCTCCGGTGAGCAATCTGGCTGCCGCCCATTGGACTAGTTGGAGTTTCCAAACAGTCTTCAAAGGCAGCCCCACATAGAGTGCATTGCAGTAATCTATTCGGAATGTAACCAGAGCATGGACCACCGTGGCCAGATCAGTCTTCCCAAGGTACGGGCGCAGCTGGCGCACTAGTTTTAACTATGCAAAAGCTCCCCTGGTCACCGCCGAAACCTGGGTTTCCAGGCTCAGCAATAAATCCAGGATCACTCCCAAGCTGCAAATCTGCATCTTCAGAGGGAGTGTAACCCCATCCAACACAGGCTGTAACCCTATGCCCTGTTCAGCCTTTCAACTGACCCCAACATCTTTGGGGCCAGTTTGGAAGGACCACAATTATGCTTTCTTTCTCTCTTTTGGATACATTTTTGACAATGGACTTTAAAGGTCTTGGAAAGCTCATACGGATACAAAAATAATGACATTTACGAAAAAACACTTGCAGCCTGGAGTATGCTTAATAGCTTCTCCTCTTGCTTCAAGAGCTGCACTTTATAGGGAAATCAGCAGGATATCCACAATATTAATGGCACTACTTGCTTCTAAAGGGAATAGACCACAGTCTGAGATAATCTCCCATAATTAGCACAAATGGTTATGCAGAGAAGGAAGGAAAGGTTATAGAAAGAAAAATGGACTGTTTGAGTATCCAGATGTTTAGTTCAAAGGAAGCCTGGGACACATGTTAGTTTTTGCAGAACAATCCTGCATGATCCATTTATTGTTTTTCTTTCGTATCAGGAGCGGCTTGAGAAACTGCAAGTCCAAAATGTCTGAAGGATTAAAGCAGGGGTCCTCAAACTTTTAAAACAGAGGGCCAGGTCACAGTCCCTCAAACTGTTGGAGGGCCGGATTATAATTTGAAAAAAACATGAATATAAATGCTCCAAATGCTCCAAATATAAGCTTATTAGTATTTCAGTTGGAAGTGTGGGCCTGCTTTTGACTGATGAGATAGGACTGTTGTTGTTGTTGTTGTTGTTGTTGTTGTGTGCTTTCAAGTCATTTCAGACTTAGGTTGACCCTAAGCAAAGGATGGGTAAAAGAGCTTGGAGGGTTGTATTCAGCCCTCGGGCCATAGTTTGAGGACCCCTGGACTAAAGTGTTTAAAGGACCAGTTCAAAACACAAGATTTTCCTACAAAATCCTGGAGGGATGGCCATGTTAATTTGTTATTTGAAACAAACAATTAAGACAACTGTGGTGCAGTGGGTTAAACCACTGAACTGCTAAACTTGTTGACCGAAAGGTCACAGGTTCGAATCTGGGGAGCGGCATGAGCTTCCGCTGTCAGCCCCAGCTTCTGCCAACCTAGCAGTTTGAAAACAGGCCAATGTGAGTATATCAATAGGTACCGCTTCGGCGGGAAGGTAACAGTGCTCTTTGCAGTCATGCTGGCCACATGACCTTGGAGGTGTCTACGGACAACGCTGGCTCTTCGGCTTAGAAATGGAGATGAGCACCACACCCCAGAGTCAGACATGACTGGACTTAATGTCAGGGGACTACCTTTACCTTTACCTATGATTCTAACACATCAAACTCTTCTGGGACTTCCGAATTCAGACAGACAGAGTTCTAGAGCACAATATTCCTGACCTCACAATCGTGTTTAAAAAAAAAAGTATGGTTTGTCGATGTCACAATCCCAGGTGACAGCAGGATTGAAGAGAAACAGCTGGAA